CACTTTGTGCTAAATCTTCAAAGGATTTTTCTTTCCTTACGTCTCAACACGTACTCAGGTCGTATGACACTTTAAATACAGACCCACAAGTTCCAAATTTAATGTCGCAGAACAGACGCTTTACTTAATAATATCTTCAATGAATGCGCAGTACAGGGCTTTGTGGATCCTCGCCCTTTAATACAACAGCGCATTTGAAAGTGTCGACAAGTGAAACCCCCCTAATTTGCTGCTTGCTATTAGCGTTGAAACAGCAATGTTCCATCTAATGTGCTACTATTACGTAAAATAGCTGTAATGTGGCCTGCTAACATATAATTTGCAAGCTTCCTTAGGAGTGAGGATCAAGGTTCAAGGGTCAATATTCTCTGACATTTTATTCTGTCTGTACATCGATATGGTTCCTATTACTCTCATATTTCATATGTACATATGCTGAGGACGCAGTTCAAAGCAAAATACTTCTCCTGAAACATCAACGGCTCTCAAAGCTGCTTGGATAAGCTTCAGCATTGATCGTTCTCCCAATCCCATATACTTAACAATCTGAATGACTGCAAATTAAATTTGCTTGGCATGAACAATTGTCGTAATTGAGCAAATCATTCTCTCTCCCTTGCGGCAAACGAGCATAACATACACAGTTCATTTATTAAAAAAGTACCTAGGTGTGCATTTAGCTCATACACCTTAAAGGTCAAAACAAGTCGATGAACCGTTCCGTTAGGTGCGAACATTATGATCTCATGATCTGAGGATCAAAAAATTACAACACCCTACTTCTGAATTTAACTCTTCACAACTATCCAAATTATTCCTTATGAGCAATATTGCTCACTTATCAATTAGCCTGGTCTTCCATGAAAAGACTTCATCCTGATTTTGCTTTCCAGTAAGCACATTTCCAAGTGTATTGAATGGCCAGATTCTCTAGTTAAATGCTACATTGCTTAAAACTTGTCGTGTATATAAATACCTTAAATTAGTGTTACAAATGATCAAATTTACAAAATTCAGACTGACATCCGAAATACTCTCTTGAACTTTTACCCTCTCTAAAGGTTAATTTCATTGTTTTCGCGTATAAACTTATCATAACTCTATTCCCATTTAGTTGTGAGCACCAATATACTTATCTACACCACGCGTGAATGCTTGCTAGATTAATGTGCATAGATATGACTTTTGTAAGTTTTGTTTGAAATTTCACCTCAATATTTTCTAGTCATTTGCGATGTGCTAGTGTACAGAGCTGAACATTGTATTGGTCAGGATGGTAATTATAAAATTGACTTTGCTTTAGCTAAATATGAATTTTGAAAAACTTCTCTTTGGACGGTTGCCTAAAATCATGTTACATCAACAACGGGTCATATATGAAATTATATGGGGACTACTTCAACCGCGCAGAGAGCAACTATACGTCTCATGCGGTTGTAATCATATTTAAACCTTAACTTTGTGACATTCATTGTAAGATATAAACACAAAGGCCAGTCAAAAAGCGAAGCTTGTGCCAATTATTTAGTACTCAGTTTTATATGCCAATTGTAGTTGTACCCTGGGTATGTTTGTATACTTCACACCTTCGTTAACATAAATTGGCAGAAAACCTTGTCAATTGCGCACAATTTCCACGTCGAATGCTTCGAGGTTAGAACATGAAGATGCTTGTAACTATACAAAGAATGGTCACATTTGCTTGTCAGATAATCTGCTTAATAACTACTGTCCCACGGATATTGTTACAGGGGAAGTCTGGCTGCACATAATATACATTATTTTTGAAATTATATATAATGTATTTTTAAAAAATTAACAAGAAGCTTTTATAGCGTGTCACCTACATTACTGCATAATTTGCCACAAAGGTTCCGTTATCAGATTATGAAATCTTACAAATTATCATAATGTAACCTTGGCATGGTGGGTGTCTGTTTACTTATTAACTTTAGACAAATGACTCTCTTTGCAACTCCATCCTTTTTATAGGGTTTTATAATAAAAACTGCTTATTTTGACTGTCTGGTAGTGGATTTAAAAATGTGCCTTTAGGTTTGTTTTCACTATATTTTTAATACATCCTATGTGATACCAAGCATTAATATTACTTTCAGTGCGCAACTTATCATACAAAATCTGATTACTATTTTTTGATATGCGACATTATTCTAAATAAGCTAAATGCATGTTGTTGAGTTAATGGGTAGATGTCTAAATAGATGATGTTTGAAGTTGGTGTAGGCGAGAAAGCCTCCAGAAAATTCTCTCTTCGTAACTTCATATCAAATAAACTGCGTGTTTTTTCCATCCTTGTCTGTGTGCTTATTCACCTACTTGCGCTGCGAATAGCGCTGACTTTGCTGTTTGCTATTTGTCATTTGGTACGAATGTTTCTTTGATAACATAAGTTATAATTCACAGTGACTGCCATTTAGTTTTAAGCAAGCGTCATTCACCCAAATATTTCGTTTTCAATACGGTTCAGTTGGTGTTAGGCACTTGGACACCAACCAGTATGTCTAAACTCAGTGAATGACCAAACTAATATCTTTTCAGGAATATGCAGTCACAATTTTAAATACCAAACTTTGATCGTGCTATTCTAAATAAGCGACCACAAATACTATATATACTGCAACTTTTCCATCCTAAAATCTCGAAATTTTCTGTTTCCTTTTTCCTACAAAAATACGTTTTGCTCTAGCTTGTAAGTACAATGAAAAGTTCCATCTCATAGATAAACTTTACGAGAAAAATCGGAATGCACCATATTTAGAATCTAAAGGTGGAACATTTTAGAGCCAGCAACAGTTGAATGCGCTTAGAGAAAAAATGTTATTATAGACACATATTTCGTAACGTTTCCTTACTTGACGGGAACTGATAAATGCAAGATTTTGTTGAATAACTTATATTACGTTTTCCTGAGTAATGTTCGGCAATTTACTTACCACCCCTGCAGGGACGCACGCAATAACAATCTTAATTTTTCAATTTGTTTCGAGAGCAACAAGAGAAATTAGTGACGAATATCTTTCAATGATTTTTTGTGAGACCATTACAATCAGATAGGTGTATAAAAAACTAGTAAATCGAGAGTTGGTTAAGTTACAATGACGCTAAATGTAAATAGCCCTAATTAGCTAGTGGCACGTAACGGATTTTGACCTTGAGCAACTGACCTCCACATCTTGCGCCTTTTCTGGCATTAAAGCGGAACAGCTTATTATATTTATTTTTACGGGCATAAGAAAGGGTTAATTAATCAAAAACAACTTTACTAGGCCGCAGAACAGTTCCGGGCCGTTAACAACTTCGTCTGTTCAGGGAAAGTTTGTACACTTTTCCAGAGCCAGGCTCATGACTTCCTAATAACCATAGTCTAGCTATAGGTAAAAAGGGCGCTGCTAAATACCCGAGCGCCACCATCCTGCAATCAACGTGGGCCGTGATCGTTCACGCGTTAGAGCAAGTGCTGCGCCGTTAGAGCAAAACAAGTGTTGCCACAGTCGCAATAGAACTGATAAATAAACTTGGAGTAGGCTAGCATCGTCAAACATGTCATTGTGCAGTGAACTAGTAAAACAGAGGCTAACACGTATGATATAAAGTTGACTTACTTGCGGCTAGAAGTATAGTCACACACAGTAACTACCTAAACTTGGAAAGTTAACCGTAGGAAAAACCGTTTACCTCTCACTGCTGCTAATTGCTCATGCAAAAATTTACCTTATGTGTTCTTGATACAACTATTTAAGGATAATCATATTCACATAAAATATACGGTAGGAATATAATTACAAGATGACCTTCTGAGAAAATTCGACATGATATAGAGGTGAAAACTGTATCAATTTGCTATTCAACTAAAAGTAACGAAGCTGTTGTAGTTCGTTTAGCAACCAACCCATGTTGTCTTTACGCAAATCTGTCGCTCGATGAAGACATACTTTTTCCTATTAAGACATAACAGCTCATTCTCGGTTCTTCTTCATAAGTGAATTACTATACTGCGTTTGCGCAGTTTAACCGGTCTTTAATATCGACTAGATAAACAAGTTTGCCAGCCTCAACAAATACATCCACCATGCTGAAACGCCCGCGGTTTTGATCGCTCTAAGGTTGCCATATTAAAATCCGCCAGCAACTGAAAGGAAGGTGACCTCGTGACCAGTTCACCTAGAAAACACTACAAACCTATACATGATATCAATGTTATCGTCAATTTATCTTTCAGAATGATAGCTTTTTGGCTGAAGTCATTAAAACGCAAGCCGAAAATGAGTGGCATTTTTCTGGATAATTTGACAATCAAATCCAGTTTAGTAGTGGTTATTAACTCAATGTTGCATAAAAAGTTTTATTTTCGAAATATTCGCAAGGGTTCATTGGGTATCATAGTAAAATTTCAGTTAAAATATCTTACTAGAGACGTTTGGGTTGAAACGTCGCTTAATCTACGCATACAGCAAATTATTTGATTACTAATACTCTTTTTGTTCATCACCCTGTACCTTTATGCAACGTATTCATAAGGTCTAATGGAAGCATTTGTGGGCTATATAAAGCCGCATTAGTTCAGAATACAACTTTGTATTAAGGCAGGTTAAATTTGGTTATAATTCTTATCTTAGCTGTTTCTTGTGTATAATATAGATAATACTCAACATCAGCATGGTTAAGCTTCTCAGCATTTACATGTATCATTAGACCCAATTTTATGTTGGATGAATGGTTACTTGGGTTCTAAATCAGTTGCAAATTATATTGTTAAAATATTAGCCAACTTAAACGGGACGAGCTGCAGTTCTGGAGGTATGAGATACAATAGTATGACGGGTGCTCTGGTATGCTTTGCATTGAGGAAAAACAATTAATATATTCTGATTGGTAACGGTTGTTACCTGAATAATATGTCCTTCACATGTCTCATTAATATATAACTAAAAGCTGAAAATCATTAGACATTTACGATGAGTTGAAAAAAATTACATAGGTTACTTACCTCGAAGTGAAAATGTTGCACTAGCTTCTCCGAGATGATTGGAAGCAAGACATTTGTATTCTCCTGAATCAATTCGTATAACATTCGTTATCTCAAGGACAGATTCCGTATCTTCATCTGAAGGCCTAACACAGTAAAGGGAATAGTAAATATCACGTTTCTCTTTATTACAGCGCTAAGAAAACGTGTAGACGATATGAAGTATTGCAAGCTACCAGCATCAAATAAATTATTCGTGGTAACAATTTTCCCCGACCAATCACAACGCGGACAACCGTGGACGAATGTAGGCATTTCCAACCACAGTGCTGATATTCGCATTTGGCGTTACTTTTCTTTCACTGGTAAGGTTTTCTTAAAACCTGGCTAAATATTACCACACTGTCTGGAATATTTATAGGCTGTTTGCGTGCCACGCATCGCGATATACTTGCAGCCAAACAAAATATAAACCATAATCCAAAACTGATTGAGAGTTTTGAATTCGTGCGAAGAGGAAAGTCTACAAAGTAGTCTAAACGTATGAAACAGTTAAAACAGAAAAATGGGCTTAACTTTGCGTCCTACTAAAACGTTTTAATTGAAAGTATATAGTGAAATGTGCGGTATTGAGGGAACAAGTCGTTTTTTTATCGCAAAATGATAAACACAGTCCGCATTATTTTATAACTTTACAACGTTAATAAGTTTTAGACACTGAGTTAAATTGAGAATGAATGTGACCCATGACTATTTCGCCGTAAATTAGTTTATCTAATTTTGTACTCGTTAAATTTTACATTGTATAGGTTGCTGCAAATTTCGGCGCAGCTGCTGCAACATTCTGCACAAATCACAGATTTTCTTTCCTTTACCTACTGTGAATGAGATAGGATAAAGAGGTCCAGATCACTTATAACGTTATACATTATGATTGCTTTTAATTGCGTAACCCGTCGTTTTCATCCGTAGTCCAGACCCGGATAGAATAGATTGTAGATGGTATCATTAACTCCATCCTTACTGGCTTTGTTGCGGGGAGTTTTCCAGCCCGAATGTGAGGCGCCATATCTCTGCTAAAATCTCTGCCAATTAGAACATCTTTGTTGAAATACCGGGCCCCCTCATCCACCTTTACTTACCTCGATCTTCTTTCAGCCACTTAAGCTTTTTACAGCTACTGTTTAAGCATCGCCCCATTAAATGACTAAAGCTGTATCTTCTAACTTTAAAACGCATCAGTTCTTCACCCCACCCCACCCTATCTCGCCAAGTAAAAAACGTATAATCCACCTCGATGATATCCATTTTTGCAAATTTGTCATATACTTTCGTCGTTCAACATCTATGTTGCACTGCCCACGTCCTCAAGCCTTATCTGTGATAGTCTGTACTATCTATTCCTTACTTGAATGCCATTTATTAAGGAGATTTTCATGAAATCATTTTGGGTTATAGCAAATAAATCTAATAAGTTTCGCACAACTGGTTGAGTACGAAAACACGCTTGAGTAGGGTCCACCTTTACTTGCGGAGGGATGCCGTTATTGGTTTGTAACATCACTTTTGGAATATACTATCTGCAAAACTAATAGAGGCTGATTCTCTGGTGTGTTGGAGATCTGTGCTCAACTAAAACGGTGCATATACAATGCAAAAAATTCATCGAATACTCGAAAATAATGACACTAATAAGAAGAGCTAAGCGGACAATCGTAAAGTAGTATATGAACAAACACTACTGTTGACAATCCGCAATTAAATGTCTTTGCTATTTTGTAATTCGGTAGTTTGTTTAGAAAGTTTTATACTTGCTCTTAAATAGTGGCAGTCTCAGTTCGCTAAGGTCGGCAGTGGTTGAAAACTCTATTGATCATCCTTAATCACAGAACATCCTTCGCGGAGGAAGGCAGTTCCAAACTTACAAAAGTGCAAAAACCACTATTGAAAATTGATGGGATATTGATAAGCTGATGCCAACAATTCCTTATCGAAATATTGCAATTATGGAAAAATTTCCCATATGGTCTAGCGTAACCTTACCTACGTTCGGAAACAGTATTTTAAGCATATACCAGTTTGATCTACCACGACTGCAGCCAATCCAGGCTCCCCAGTATTCAGTTTCTCCCAGCGAATTCTTCCGTGTATACATTCTCGTGATCACAATTCACTTTCTTAACATGGACCGGGATGGATGTAAAGGTTAAGGAGGCTTTACATTTTACCATTGTTATATTTTTACCTCGCCAGTGGGCTAAACCTTTAGAAGTGTTCAGTATGGGAAGCACAAGGAAGAATCAAAACTGTCTCAATGCACTCGTAGTGTTTATCTTCCAGTATTTTAGAAATCGAGTATGAATTGATCAACTGTGGTATAACTATACTCACTTTGTTTTCGGGAACGTGGAAATAATGTAAAGGACGCTTTTGTAGTTTTTAGGATTGAAGACTACAATTATCGAAACTTATTTAACTGCAAATCGATGACACATGTTAGAACATAACCTAAAGCTTCCGAGTAAATTCTGTCAATAAAACTTCGAAACATTTATCGTACCACTGCTTGAAGGCAACTATTTATTTAGAATATTTAAATTTTTCTCATACTTAAGCCGATTATCAAACACTCATATATTTGTCCTAATTCCATTCGGTTATGTCTGATCAGCACAGGATCCATGTACTTAAAATCGATATACCTTTGTGGTCAAAATTTTAGTGGAGCTTCCTGCATAGGCAGAAGAAAAAAACTATTTTTTATTTATGTATTTCAGAATAACCGATAAAACGCGTGCATAATATATTTGGTACAAAATTATTTTTGGATACAGGCGTATATAACCCGTCTTGTTGGTTGCGACTTTCCTCTTCGTGTATTTTAAATTTCTGTGACAAATTTTAATGGGATGTATTCAGAAAATCAATTATAGTGTGATTTCTCGCAGAGTGAGCAGATTTTTTAAGTAAAAACTATTATAATATTCAACAACACAGTAATAATGTACTAGCAAGTTACACCACATCAGCCTTTATTTGTTTATGCCAAGAAAACTATATTTTAATTTAAGTCTTTTGAAAGTTAAGTCATTTTGCTGGCGCCTTTGGACTCAGTGTTTGCGTGACAATCGGAGTTAGAACAAGGTTGTCCCATTAGCATCCTAATTTCGTTATCATATAAAGTTAAGAAAGAACCATCATTATGTTAATACGTCGGACCAACATTAACAAAAGGGAAAATAGACTGGATAGTGATAGGCCAGATATGCAAAATCTCGGCGTCCCTAAAAGGGTGAAATTTGCATCAGTCAGTAAGAGAAACCTCGGAAAATAAGCGCTAACAAATTAACGGTAATAAAAAGCAGCCAATTAATGTTAATCGAATGTGGTTTCTTACACAATGTATTCATTCTGCATATAAGGCTGCATTTAAATCCTCAAGCAATTGATGTAAATATCTCGTGCATCTTTGCTAAAGTCGTCGTCGTCTGTGGACCACTTTTTAATGACATTCATATATGAACATATATATGCATTACAGTGGCTAGTATTTTATATTTACCATCAAATGCATAACACACGCATTTTTAACTAACTAAGTTCGCCTTGTTCAGAAAGGAATTGTTTCATTATTGCACTAACAGGAGTCGTTGCCGAAAAGTCTCTTTATTTTACAGGCCAAGCAATGAGTTGTTCAATATATATATATATATATGTAATTATATATATATACATATATATTTGCGTAAGACTTCTTAGCGCAGTTGGGTTATATAGACATATATTTGAACCCCAGCTTTTAACCTAAGTATAATGTTTTTAAATTGCTTGATTAGTTAAGTTTTGCTATGCTGATGCATATTCGTCAATACTGCTTGTTTACTTTTCTTCAATTTTTGTTTTAATTGTTTGCTACCCATGTTGCGACTGTGCTTGATGTGTATGATTACGGGATACATAAAATTTTAACAACCTCCCCCTCTATTCATGGTACACGGAGACAACTTAACTTTGCTGAGTAGACGGGGTGCAAGTTAGTGTTGACCGTGCTAGGCTCAGAGGGTGGTTTCATCCAGATTGAATCGACTATAGCCCAGCCAACCTCATATGCTCCTCTAGTACGCACGATTGCAAAAATGAAGTGCAATGCAATGCTACTGTGTTGAAGTTGAGTATTGGAGGCTGGCTCCGTTAAAGCAACTTGGGTCAAATCCACATGTCTTCCTATATTATTCCTTCTGATTTACACTAGATGCTGTATGTGTAGAAGCAGCCGTGTGTAGTGAGGCAGTAGCCACCCAAGGTCTCTCTCTAGGAGCTAACTTCCAGTGACTGTCCTATGGAGGCAACAATGACAGGCAACTATGGAGAAGTATGCCCCTATCTCTGTACCATCACGGTGCGACATCAATCATTACGCTTAAAATTCTTGGTTTACACACACATGGAAATGTGTGATCTCGAAAACCGATAGTACAGTGCGGCTATTTGAAATTTGAAATGAATTTAAAAAATAGTCTTTATTTTGCTTTAACCCATCGTATATTGCTTTAGAGAACGCTGTGCTTCTTATAGCATTAATCCAAAAAAGATGTTTTAGTTTCTCGAGTATAACCAACTGCTTACCTTATTTGTTCCACTGTTATACCTTTATCCGCCAGGTTAATGGATCTGCCGTTTTTGAGCCAAAGTATCACAGGTCTTGGACGTCCTTTGACTGCGCATGTCATCGTCAGAGTGCTGCCGTGTTGCAACTGCTGATTCGTTAATTTCTCGATTGTAGGTGCATCTGTAAACATGATGACTTATGATAATGAATGCTAATAACGTTAATGTTATGAAATGTTAAAGCGAGATTATTGTATATGGGTAAATATTAATGCACTTTTTAAATTGTGCACCAGAGTTAATTTATATCAGAAGATTCATGTACACCTTTTGTGGGTTATTGAGTTATATCAAAAGAAACCTGGTATGAAGTGACATCCTTTCGACAACTCTCCTCAGGCGTGTTAAATTATAGCGCGCATAATCAAATGAACATTGCGCTATTTATAGCCTGTATGTGCAAGGTAATTGATGTCCGGATAAGTTAAGTGCACAGGTGTTCAACTCAAACAAAAAACGAAGGGTTAATTGCCTTAACGTCACCTGACTAGGCTAAGCCCTTCGCAAGATAATGGGTTGTACAATAGTGTTTTCGCACACAGTCCCGTCGGTGACCGTATGATTGCAACGGCTTCAGTCGTAGTCAGGAAACGCATTTCGAGCACTTTTGGAGTCGGTTTTGATAGGGTGTAGAAAATATTAAAAGTGTCCTTAGCTGTTATTTGTTGTCCGGTGTTAAGCGCGTGTTCTAACATGTAGACGTGGTCCTTTTTCCTACCATGCTGCAATGACGTCGGACAGCTCCACAATGCTTTTCAACATAACCCTGGTTGTATATCGAATAAAACTAGCACCACAGGTTAAAATACACTGATATACAGCCACTGAGTTGCAATTAATGGTAAGCTTATATTTGAGATACTGAATAATAGTAGGGGCTGTTCCAGAAAGATTGTTGATTCAAGCTACCGGATACCTTTGGCTCAAGGAGTTTAACACGGTTATTCATAGTAGCTCGAAGGAGATGTATACCTTGAATGGAACTAAAAGATATACCTCATTCTGTCTGACAGTCAAACAAGACTTATTCCGATAGTGGACAACAGAATTCATCCTGATGAGAGCAACCGGATAGTCGTGGGTTTCAAGCGTACTCTGAAGGAAATTATTTTCTTCATACAACGTCTCTGAGTTGTAGATTTTTTGACGTGATAGTCCAGAGCATATACTAGGTATATTTTGCGTTTCACAGTAACAAAACCATGAAAGCGCGTGTACTTGCCAACCAAGGTTATCTTACAGAACACAGTTTTTTCAAGGGAGCCATCATATCGTCGCCGTAGGAGCACGAATATGAAAGGCATTTTAGCATTTTCTTCGATTAAGTAAGTAAATTTAAGAGACTTAATCACGTTGAACGGAACTAATGGATTTAATTGATCGGCTGAGTCCACATTCTTGCTGAAACTTCCCTCTCCGTACTCAGTACCACAAATATATGCTTCGCTTTTAATACAACTCCCCTGTTGGCATAATTTCACCTGCGATTGTCGGGTTAGGTATATTCGAAATACCACCAGACGTCTAGCAAAGAGGATTACTGTGTAGCGTCCATGATCAATGCAACGGGGTATGATCAAAATATTCACAGCTCCATCTTTGACCACATACTTAAAGCCAGACATCAGAAAAGAAGCATGTATTATTTAAATTTTTCTACGCTCTACCGAAGTGAACCACAAAAGGACTCAAAATAAATTTGCTGACTACGGCTGTAGTTATTGAAATCATACGGTTGCAGCTAGAGATGAGTAAGCAGAAGACTCTGGTGCAGGCCATTATCTTGCAATTGGCTTAGCATAGTCAAGTGATCTTAAGGCAATTGACCCTTTGTAGTTTGATTTGAACTCCTTTACACCTTACTTATCCGAACATTAGTTACCTTGCACATACTAGCTATAAATAAGGTAATGCACACGTGAATGTTAGCCCCATAATTGTACACACGCGCAGAGAATCGTCCAAAAGAGTTTTCTACGCGCCTTTTCTCTTCAAAGTTTTAAATGGACATAATTTACGAATTTACGTTTGTTCGAAAATTTACATAGACATTAGGCTTAAATTGACACTTGGTGACTTTAAACCATTTAAGCTTGTGGGCGTTTTTGTTAGTAAATCCTACAATACTCGGAGCGAGAATATCAAAAGCATATGAGGTTTAACTTTCGGAGTAAGTCCACGGGAGAAGTGCCACTCAAAATCGTGACAAATCTATATATGACGCCAAAAAGTGCGAGTAAGTGTAATATTCCCTATTTTTTTCATGAAACATGCATTTATAGCATATAAAATAAAAGCGATGACAGATGATGTTCAAACGCATTGCACCAGCCAGAAGTAAGGCCCAACATGTGGGATAAACATAAAAGTCCTCAATTCCAAGGATGTTAATTCATTCTATTTCTTCAATCAGCTATGGGATATTTGGGCTTTAATTAAGAGATTAAGTCCACATATGGAATTCTCAGCAAGAACGAGCCATAAAGACAAATATAGACAAGCTGCGATTATTTAAGCTTTGTCCTCTTGCTCACCAATCAATTGCATTCCTTTTCAAAAGGTGAGTATATAGTTGCCGGTTAAGTCAGGCTACAATTTCACATCTAATTTTTAGATATCTAATAGATTAAAAGCAGCAGCCAATTATTATGACAGCTTTGAAATGCAATAAAATAAAATTCTTGCTAAGACTAGTAAGCAATCATCATAATAATGGGTATTCAATAAAATACTTTTTTAACTCCATATTGAATATTCAGCGACTTGTGAGCAAATATATATGCAGTTCTTGAACATGCAACATAAATATTTACGTCAGTTACTTCAACTTGCTTTCGGGTAAAAGCAAAATGTTTATATTATCTGTATTAAAGGATCGCATGCACAGGAGTCATGTTTAGTAGATGAAACAAAATGCGTACCATATGCTGATTTGAAGTACTATGCATCATTCAGTTACCTACTGCATACTTGCTATTTAATGGCTTAAAATATTGGCTCCAGTCATAGCAGTGGGTGTTTGATGCATTTTTTGATGCTGTATTATTTGAATACTTTCAATATAAAATAAGTAAGAAGCAACTTGTTTTTCTAACGACCCAATTGTAAATTAGTAATAATGATGTGTGCATACGAATTTACTTATATGGTTGGACTGTCTCTATGTTCCTTTCCAGTTTAAGCCCCAGGGCTGTGTTAATATTTTGAGTATGTGAGCAAGTATGGTTTGCGATACACAATTGTTAGGACCACACTTTTACTTGATGCAACGGTAAATTCAAACACTGAGACCGCATCCAAATTGCATAGTGTTGAAACCTTTCCCTCCAAACACACCACTCCAAATTCGACCGGGTTCGTCCTATTTTTGACCCCTAAGTTAGAGACAGCTTGTGCCGAGTGGGTGCCAACACAATTGTTGACAGGTTTCGTCTTGGTCCCTAGGTAAGAACACTACTGCAGCGCTTGCCACAGCGGTCGAAATTTTCGAACAGTTTTGTTCTACTTGCCGTGTGTAGATTAAGATACGCGATCATGATTGGGCCACATGTTGATTTGAAGCAACCCTATATCATTTCCATCAAGTGGACCGCATTCAAAGTGGATGGTTTCGAAGCCTTACTCTATAGATGCTGCAATACATGACAGTTTCCATGCAGAGCTAAAAACGTTATTTAATATAACCTAAGTTTTATTTGCCCTAAACCAGGGATCTGTGAGTCAAGGTTCACAAAGTTTAGTATCGCACTTTTGGTTGAAGCGAGACCATGAAAAACGGATATATCATGAATTATCCCCACAAAAACTTGAGGTGCCGTTTACCATTTGTAACAGCGTACATTTCGGTTGCGAATATCCTAAAGCGAAAGTTACGGCACATTTGGGAGGAAGTAAGTACGATCTTCCAGACCGTAGGGAACCTGAAATGTATCTGTCCTTTTAACTTCATTGAATCACAGAAATTTGAGATCACAGCCCAATTTGCTAATGCCATTCAACCGACTCAAATCGCAACGGAACATTCTTCAGAATGTGTGCAAAAATCGGAAATCTTCTCCAAATTTATGCTTTTAGGTCTAACATCTTCCCTGTATATAAATGACCTAAACGTTCCATGCATAGTCTACACAAGTAATCTGTGTATATCTGGATATCACCAACAGAGATACAGGTAAAGCAAATATGTTTCACCTACATAGTTGAAATATACCCTTTGCGCAAGCATCCATATGGTGTTATATGCTTCTTACACTACGGAGTTCGGACTGGACCAGCAGTCCGTACTAAATACTATTCGAGTAAGCATAATATATTAAAGTTGCTATTGAATGTCTGAGTCTCCAACTAAATAACTTGGAAAAAACAAACTGAGGACGATAGTGCAGGCTTCATTTTGCCATGACCGCTAAGTTCACCATGACTGCTATCCAGCTAGATCATAGGCATTGATTCAGAGTTTCTTCATCAAGTTATCGCACAAACGACTTGCTTTGTTCTTTATACATTAATTGTATAAGCGCGTGTAAAATGTGATTAAAATTACAGATGGAATTATTTGTATTCGCGGAAAAAATATTTTTACTTAATGTCCTATCAAAATCAACGAGTAAACTAGTCAAAATTGATTTGTTTATAATCGCACATAATGAAGGAATTCCTGCAACATTTAGGATGTTTTCAAATAAATATTTGCTAACTCGGCCATCTGGCGGAACCTGATCAGCCGATAAGTAGATCACAAATTCTTGCTCTCATTTTTAGCACTGACAAATAATATGTATATGTGCAGCCTTCGTTTATTTCTGTCAAAGTAACTTAATCCAATAAGGCACCGACAGATCAATAAATTTGGTTTTGCTCCTTTGTTACCAACGCTGCGCACTTAGATCAACGATGCTACTATTGTCTTAGTATTTATTGTAGTGTTATTCTTCCTTTGTAATTCCATAGAAAACAATAGAGATTATTTATGAAAATGACAAAATGGAGCGCCTAACTAATCTCGGTTTTTATGCCTTTGAAAGTAATTCTCACTTTGAACTGCATTTGCAATGAAGGGGACATTATTGTGTATTCGGTCCAGTAAAATTTGGATGCGTCTCGATTTACGCTGCCAACAGC